TAAGTAGTAGGTTGGTTACAGTTGATAGTAGGCTGGGTATAGGTAGTAGGTTGATATGGTAGGTAGGTTACAGAAGGTGGTAGGTTGATATGGTAAGTAGTGGGTTGGTTATAGTAGGTAGGGTTAGTTGGTTTTTGTAGGGAGAAGGGCAGTTAAGGTAGATTGTAGGTTTATTTCGGTAGGTAGTAGGTTGGTTTTGTAGGTTAAGGGGGTTTTGTACGGAGTAGGGGGAAAGATTCTTTTGTAGGGAATAGGGCAGTTTCGGTAGGTTGTAGGTTTACTTTGGTAGGTTGTAGGTTTATTTCAGTAGATTGTAGGATGGTTTTGGTAGGTTGAGGGGGTTTTGTAGGGCGTAGGGGGAAGGATGCTTTTGTAGGGAGTAGGGCGGTTTCGGTAGGAAGTAGGTTTATTTTAGTAGGTTGTAGGTTTATTTCAGTAGGTTGTAAGTTTATTTCTGTAGGTTGGTTTCGGTAGGTTGTAGGTTTATTTTGGTAGGGAGTAGGTTTATTTGGTAGGTTGTAGGTTTATTTTGGTAGGGAGTAGGTTTATTTGGTAGGTTGTAGGTTTATTTTGGTAGGTTGGTCTTGGTAGGGAGTAGGTTTATTTGGTAGGTTGTAGGTTTATTTTGGTAGGTTGGTCTTGGTAGGGAGTAGGCTTATTTGGTAGGTTGTAGGTTTATTTCTGTAGGTTGGGTTTGGTAGGGAGGAGGGAAGTTTCCGTAGGTAGTCTGGGTTTAGTGGGTTTAGGTATGTTATTGTTAGGTCAGTTTGGGGCTTGGTTGAGCTCAGTGACTTCAGATTATGAGAAAAAAGACTAATCTGAATTTTGCGACAGAGCTTAACTCGGTACTGGTTTATTTTTCAAAGTATAATGAAGGAACTGGGTGACGCCATACGGGTTAGGTTTAGTGGGATAGTTTATGGGTTAGGTTTAATGGGGATAGGTTATGGGTTAGGTTTAGTGGAGTAGTTTATGGGTTAGATTTAGTGTGATAGTTTAAGGGTTAGATTTAGTGGAGTAGTTTATGGGTTAGGTTTCATGAAGTAGTTTATGGGTTAGATTTAATGGGGATAATTTATGAGTTAGTTTGGTGAAGTAGTTCATGGGTTAGGTTTCATGAAGTAGTTTATGGGTTAGATTTAGTGTGATAGTTTATGGGTTAGATTTAGTGTGATAGTTTAAGGGTTAGATTTAGTGTGATAGTTTAAGGGTTAGATTTATTGGAGTAGTTTATGGGTTAGGTTTCATGAAGTAGTTTATGGGTTAGATTTAGTGTGATAGTTTATGGGTTAGATTTAGTGTGATAGTTTAAGGGTTAGATTTATTGGAGTAGTTTATGGGTTAGGTTTCATGAAGTAGTTTATGGGTTAGATTTAGTGTGATAGTTTAAGGGTTAGGTTTAGTGGGGATAATTTATGAGTTAGTTTGGTGAAGTAGTTCATGGGTTAGGTTTAGTGGAGTAGTTTATCGGTTAAGTCTAGTTGGATAGTTTATGGTTAATTTTAGTGTGTAGTTTATGGGTTAGTTTTTGAGGGATAGTTTATCAGTTAGGTTGAGTGGAGTAGTTTATCAGTTAAGTCTAGTTGGATAGTTGATGAGTTAGGATTAATGGGATAGTTTACAGGTTAGGTTTAGTGGGATAGTTTATGGTTAAGTTTTTATGGAGATAGGTTATGGGTTATGTTTAGTTGTGATAGTTATGGATAAGTTTTAATGGGGATAGATCATGGTTTGGTTTTGAGGACAGTTTATGGATTAGCTTTAATGTGTATTAATTATGGGTATGGTTAAATGGGATTGTTTATGGAATAGCTTTAATGGGAGTTGTTTATGAGTAGGGTTAATTTAGTTAAGTTTATGGGTAAAGTGCAATGGGTTAAATGGGGATAGCTGATTGGGTAAGTCTAATAGGATAGTTTATGGGTGAGGTTAAGTGGGGATATTCCATTGTTTAAGCTTTTGGTTTATGGGAAAGCTTTAATGGGGAATGTTTATAAGTTAAGTTCAATCAGGGTTTTTAATGGATTATGTTTTATTGGGATAGTGTAGTAAGATGTTTAATAGGGATTGTTCATGGGTTACATGAATGGAGATATTGTATGGATTACCTTTAGTGCTAATAATTTTTGTTTAATATGGGATAGTTTGTAGATTCAGTCTAACCGGAATTGTTTATGGGAAAGATTTAATAAGGATGATTTACAGACAAGGAGGCAGTTGATGAGTTTTTAATAAGGTTAGTTTAGGATTTGATTTAACAGTTCATGGGTTAGGTTCAGTGCATATATTTTATTGGTAAAATGTAATGGGAATGATCTTTTGAGTAAAGCTAATGTGTGGGATTTTGATGGGTAAAGTATTTAATGAAGATAGTGTATGGACAAGGTTTATAAGGACATGTAGATTTCATTGGCTTAATTTAGAGTAATTGTACCTAGTTGGTGGTTTAATTATGACATTTGATTGGTTGGATCAGAACAGTACATGTTATAAGGTTTAATAGGAATATTTTATTATTTAGATTTAACAGGGATAATTTATCAATTAACTTCAATGTGGGTAGTTAATGGATTTGGCATCATGAGGATTGTGATAAATTGGAAGATAGTGAACATTTTATGCTAAATGTAGATAGTTCTGTTACATTTGGCTCCAATATGGATAACTTTAAAAACTTGACTGAGACCTTCAAGGATGTTGATTTTGATTGTTAAGTTTTTTTTCTTAATTTACAGTAATTTACAGATGTGTACATCATTATCTTATATATATTTATACACAAGTTTTTACCTGTTGTTACTGAGTGCTGGATATACATTTATAAACAGTTACAAATAAACTGCAAATTTGAAAGCATATCTTTACCTCGTTTTGTATTTTATTCCGACACAGGCATGACAACATTGAAACTATACTTAATAGAAATAAGGGGGTCAGACTCTCACACATCTATGACCAAGTGTTAAACAAAGCATATTCAAATCGACTAGCATACATTATTACCACTTTTTTTCCCCCTATAATCTGTTTACCATCTTGTCACACTATTTTTGACCTTAGTGTACATAAGATTATAGTACAGCCGAAAATTCTTCACAATCTCGTATACTACATACTGAACAAACCACCTGCTTTTATGGGGACAAGGTAGGATTGAAAATGTTCAGACAGTTAAAACAACATCGTTTTCTGACCAATATTACGCGTTCAGCCCAAGCCGGGTGTCATCAGTCTCCTCATACTCAACGTGTTAACTGTCATTAACCGTTAATTATACAATCAGCCAAGCCTTTCAGGCTTGTTAGGTCACCTGGGTAAATTTGTTTACTTAAGGTAATTACATGTGTTAGGGTCACGCTCATTGTGGTTTCCTAATTATCAATGGATCAGACCACATCAAATGTTTCGTCGCAGTGACCAGTCAATTAATTTTTCTGTAGATTTTTTTTTTTTTAAATCTGATCTCCAAAAAGTACCTGCGCACTATACGCGAGTGCGCACTATACGCGAATATTTACGGTATGTCAGTTCTAGTACCTTTCACAATGTCCATTTGTCTGATGAAGATGACCATGTAGTCATCCAAACATCACACTCAAATTTTCTTCTGATTGTGAGATAAGAACTTCTATTCTATTGACGTTGCCAACCTGAATATAATGCTCTGAAACATTGAAACAAATACTTGCAACAAAAGTAGCTCATTATGTAACTCTGGAAGTATTTGGGTCAGGTTAATCAATCTGACCCACAGCTGATATTTATATATTGTACATTTGGACAGTGATCAATTTCACATACAGCTGTTTTAGCATCAGGATGATCAGATCAATACATTATCTTTAGACAAAGAGGGCCTAGACATATGACAGGTTGTTGGTCAAAACATTTAGGGGACCATGTACGGTGGACTCTATCTAAGCCAGACTAACATGTCTAATCTAGATCTTTGTCTACACTGGTCAAATAATTTGGACTTGATAAGTTTCGTCTTCTATTATAACATTTTAGCTCTGTCTTCTGTTCGGTAATTTGGCTGTGTTTTAAGGTCCAGTTCCTTCTAAACATTATTAAATCTACTCTGTGTGTATGATGTGAAATGAAAAAAAAAAAACCCAAAACAATATAAATTGATACCGGACAGAGAATGATAAACAATAAAAAATCAATATCAAATACTGATTTTCTCTCTTGTCTATTTGTAGGCCTAATCATGAATTTGAGCAGTATATTACTCTGACCTCGGGCTAACATTGTGCGTGATGTGTGCTTTAGCTTCAATCCCATCACCCAATAACAATGTCCCTAATAACACAATGCTGCAGGATGGTTTGGTCACAATATCTAGGTCCAGAAATACAGACAGGAGTTGTCTCCCTGACACCAGTTTGTCCAAAATTGTAAAGGTCCATGGCAGAAATAAGGGGACACGGAAAGGCCTATAAACCCTAGTGGTGGCTAGGAATATAACATACACAGTTCCAATCACCAGCCCTTAGAAGTCATCATGTCCAGGTCTGAACTGAATCGTTTATCCTTGACCCGTCCTCCAGCTGAAATGGGTACATACTTTGGTATTTCTTGTCAATTATGACCAGTAACTTCAGTGGTGTTAAGCCATCTAACCATTAGTTATGTCCCAGTGTAGTTTCAATTGTAGCAAGTATCTAACTGTCACAGTTTTATCACATCAACCAGCATTTGGTTAAATGGTAGCTAGATGTAAAACCCACAGTTAACTCCCCTTACAGTTCCATATTACTTTCATAGTTACCAGAAATATTGCTAATTTTCAGCATTGCATGTCCATCTACTTTGTATTTTCTGCTATCTTTAGGATACCCTTAAATAAGCACCTCCCCACTTTCCTTTTGGAAAGATTTCATTTGGCATGCCACAAAGTAACCTAATCACCAGCTTTCCCAAATTTGTGAGTTTAAAATTGTTATTCTGAGCCCTGATATCTGAAATGTATGCCAAGAAATAAAAAAACAAACATCAAATTTTATAATATGCAATATATATTTATATATAAACAGTGTATTAGACACTAGTCAAACAAAACACATGATCAGATCGCACAAACTAATGACGAGCTTAATAAACAACAATCCCTCGACATCGTCAAGCAGAAATCACAACAGCATAAAAATATCTTTAGTCTGAATTATTATCACATGAATTGGAAATAAGCCTCCCTTTTGCTCAAGAATATTTCATTGATTGTTAACAAAAAATATTTTCCCTACTTCTATCTCTCCTTCAATCAAAAAGTAATTTATTTTTCAAATGTTTAAAATATTTTTTTTCTATGGCATAATAATGCAATGATTTGAATTCATAAATCATGATGACAAAGTCTTTAAGATACCGATATGTACAATGTTCAATATATTTCAGAACTGAAAATTCAATAAAAAAATTTTGAGAATATTTGAAATCATAGAAATGAAAAAAAAAACTATCTTTATCAAAATACCAGAAATCTAGAATGTGTTTCTGAAGTATCAGTAATAGTAGTGATGATTATTTATAGGGAAAGCCAATACATTGTAGGTGATATATTAGACACTAATAGCAGCAACAAGAGGTCTCTGGGGAAAAGTAAACACACTGGGTTTGCTTAATTCAGTTAAATTGTGTTTAATGCTATATAACATTTCTGTCCTGATGAAGGTTCTCAAGCTAAAGCTTACCATGCATTTTATAGATGACATATGCAACTTCCAGCTGTACTCAGATGGTTAAGTTTTGTTAGCTTAATGATCAACAAAACATATCAATAATATTGAAAGAATTGTTATAAATGACAAAAAATAAACATATTTCAGGATTTAAAATGTTTGATTTCTGAAAATACACAAATACTTGTATACTACACATTTGAAAAAAAAAATTTCTTCAAAGTGTTACTGAATCTTATTTGTATTGAGACACTTTGTACACTACTCTACTACCCTAAACCCCCACCCCTTCCCCATTATTCTTAAGATACTTTGTGAGATTAATAGATGAGATTATACCCGAAACTCTCTTTACATTAGATTGAAAGAAAAACAAGATCTCTCAGATTTTTTCTATGTGACAAAAAAATACAATTTACACATCAACGTAAATAAAAATACATTCATATCTTTGTATGTTTTGAACATTTAAAGCGTGATTGATTGCTTGTGATATCATGAATTTATTGCCATATTATAAAATATTTACAAGTGAAAAATTGGTGTAGAAATAAATCACTATCTCTATATAATGATATAGTATGTACATGTAACGTAATAAAATGCAGAAAAGTAAACTTTATACAGGTAAAATCTCCATCATATACCTGTAAAAATGTACCTTAGTAAAACAGGTATCAAACATACAGGTATTCAAATGTTTATGTCAATTTGTTAAATATACATAGAAATGAATATGATAAGGTATGCAGAGATTCAGTACTTTAAAAGAATAATGGAATGATCAAGATGGAGATCGTTGCCTAGAATTCCAATGTGATAGTAAATACTTTAAAGCAACATCAACATACAGTTAAAAGTCCTTATCCAGCAACCACTTATCTGGAGAAGCCACCTTTCTGCCACCACTAATCTAGTGTTGCCACTATTCAGTCACCACTAATCTGGTTGGGCCACTATCCAGCAACCACTAATCTAGTGAAGCCATTATCCTGTCACCACTAATCTGGTGGAGCCACCTCCTGTCGACACTAACCTAGTGAAGCCACTATCCAGTCACCACTAACCTAGTGAAGCCACTATCCAGTCACCACTAATCTGAACAACCCATTCTCCAAGGCAGCAGTTTGATGGACAAATGGGTTTTTTTGTTATCTAAACGGTTCAAAAACCTAGTCACTTCAGATGGCTTGGCCAACAAACTTTTCTACAGTGCATTTTTATAATGCTATATTGTCATATTTTTAGCTGAAAACATGTTTTTCCAAAGGGACACAACTCATCTTCTGATCTTGGTCTTATTGGAGACTTACTACCTCTCTTCAAACTCTGGTGATAAATTATTGTGGTTCAAATCTTTACTAAACAATTTTGTGTGTATCAAATCAGCATGATCACAGCCAAACCTTAAGAATTACTACACAACATATTGTATCAGCTTTGTACTATCAACATACCTCAGACACTTCCCACCCTGAACAAGTTAACCAACACAACACACAACAACTATTGATTTACAAGAGTTCTAAAGGACAAAACAAAGTTTAACATATGATTTTATTTTTTCATATTTTCCATCTGTTTAATGTGAAAGCAACAGATTGGCTTATGGTAAAAAATTGGCAAGATAGAGAGAAAGAGAAAAAAAGTTCACTTAAAGATGTATCCTACCTGCAACACCTACTTCCTGATACTGCATCCCATTTAATGATAAATCAAGATATCTTCAAAGTACCTTTGACAAGAGGAGTTGATAAAGACAAGACTAATTTTATTCTTAATATTCAAATCATGGTATGAAACAAAAAAGCTCTTCATGACATAATTGCCTGACAGATTCTTAGTTTTTGAGAGTTATCTCCCCTCTATTGTTAAACGCTAAGTATAAAAACAATTAAAATTTATGTTAAAGATTTAAAATTGGTACTCATGGAACTAAAAATAGGCCTGTGGCATATTATGCTATACAATATGTAATATTTCACTGGAATAAAATGCATCATTTGTTAATATGTGTCACCTTGTTAGCATAACCTGCTGAACATGCAGAAGAAGCTCAGGGTTATTGGTTACAAAATGGATGTCTTTTATTTGTAAATAAGCCAATGAAAATTTGCTAATTTTTCTGAAATTTTACATTACAATGTGTCATATCTGATTATACATTATTACTGTGCTCAACTTATTCTGTACAACATATCTGTAAGACCCTTCAAAGAATTCAGTTTTGATATATATTTCAGAAAAGCTGATTTATCTAATAAAGGAAAATTTTCATGGGCCAAGATAGTGGAGTAACGAATGAAATATTACATCAAAACTTACATAAATTAAGCTCCATTTATGTATCATTCAGCTCAGCACCACAAATATCATTATTTACTTTAACACAGTAATAGAATTTTGATTCTTTGCTTTCCTTATATAATCAACACATTATAATATGTATCTTCCTTTAAATTCTTGTGAGAGAGAGAGTGTGTGAAAGAAAGAGAGAGAGAGAGAGATAAATTGTAAGGCTTATCAAGGATTTTAAATGCTGTGTAGTTTTGAAAATTTTTACCTCGGGGAATAACTTTTTTAGAATTTAGAATTGCTACACACGTATATTTGATCTTCTATAGATATATCAGGGATGTAAAAATTGAGGAATTTCACTGATCGTAATTGAGTGTCATCAAAACACAGATAAAAACAATTTAATGACAATTATCAATACCAAAACAATATATCAATTAAAACTTTCTGTTGGACTAAAACAAATCTACTTAGAACTTTTTCTGTTGGACTAAACCAATATATCTATGTAAGACTTTCTGTTGGACTAATAACAACATATTTACCGATGTACAGGATTTTCTGTTGAACTAAAGAAAAATCTACATAAGACTTTCTGTTGGACTATATATAGCCAACAGGTTCTATAGATAAAATAAAGGATAAAAATGTGTGTTTTGGGGGAGGGGAGGGGAGGAGGGGGAAGAAGTGTCTTCTTAAAATATGTGAAAAACAGGAAATTAAAAGAAGATAGAATGTCCTTGAAATGAAACACTTCCTCACTGTTGAAAAATTACTTCTTAACTTAACAATGCATTACATAATTCTCAGGAAAAAATATGACGTATGCATGCTGTAAACATAAAGTATATTTTATGTACATTACAGAAACATATCTCATGTTAATTTCATTAACTATACATATCAAATCTATATTTATTTCAACAGGTAAAATACCTCACCTAGCATATAAAATAGAATTAGAGAAACAGTAAGATTACATATTATTTTTTCAGACTTTCAAATTCACATAAATAAGTAAGGGTCTATATATATCAAATGAGAGATATGTACACTGCTCCCTGGGAAATCTGTTTACGTAAATGTAGATAGTTATTGGAAAGATCTTACTACGCTAATATATGGGAAACGAGACAAAATATATAACTTATCTAGAACAGACAAAAATTTGTATGATTCTCACCACAATATCCAAGACATTCATTATTCCATTCACACTTCTTTCAATTTGACCGAGACACTGCATAGCAATGTGACATGGAATTTCTAAACAGTTTTTCATATACATCTCATCTTCTGTCTAAAGCACCTTGCCTGCTTACACCAGATTTATTGTCTTAAGTCTCTAATCTTCTTGCACTACTGATTTACTGCCTTAAGTCTCTTGTCTTCTTATACTCTAGATCTACTGTTTTAAGTCTATAACCTTCTTACACTCTAGATCTACAGTCTTAAGTCTCTTGCCTTGTACTTTCCATACAGATCAAATTAAGATTACTTCAAATAAAAAGGAAAGTCCTAAAAAAAATCTTTCTTTTTCATTCTTCAGTTTTAGTTTAAACATTTGATATTTTTTAAATTGATTTTGAGTGACAGAGAATTAAGAAATAGGTATCAAATTTGTCCTACAGAGAATGTCATACCAGGGGAAAGCAATTCTAAAACATATAGATTGATTAGAGGATTGGAAAAAAGTTTGGTGGATGAGAGGGATAAGTTGTGCATGCACTAACTAGTTGAATGGACCAGGAAGGCTCAACTGACCAGCTGACCAGTTGAGCAGACCAAGAGGTGGCTCAACCGATAAGTTGTACTAACCAACTGACCAGTTGAGCAGACCAAGTGGCTATACTGATTAGCTGACCATTTGAGCACAGAAAGTGACTGTACTGACCAGATGAGCAGACAAAGTGGCTGTTCTGATCATCTGAGCAGACCATGTGGCTGTACTAATTAGCTGACCAGTTCAGCAGACCATGAAGTGGCTTGACTGACCAGCTGAGTGGACCAAGAAATGCCTTTACACACCAAATAAACAGATAAAATTGCTATGGTGGAGAATTTTTATAAGTTATCACTTATTTTTACTTACAAAACACTCATTCAGTAACTGGACTGATCAATGATAAATAAAGCTGAATATGATGAGAATATCCCTCAGCTCAACATGTAGAAGGATTATTTGTGTTTTTCTCTTTTAAATCAATTTGGCATCTTTCCCAAGCAAGTGCTTATGCTACATCCTATTAACCTAATGATATTGTTTAATTCTGTTACATTCATACCGCTATAACTGTCAGAACAACAGATCCACATCTTCAGACCAAGCGTATGGACCTTACCCCATACAGCAATTAACAATTGTGGAAAAAATACAGGCTTTTCCTAAGACAAAAACACTAATGTACAAGTTACAAGGAAATCCCTTGTGATGGATCACAATAATGATTATGATCTACAGTTTTCATAGATATACAAAAGTTTTTTCGAGTTTGACAGTATGTCTATGACAAAATAGTTCCTGTCTGTTAAATTTTATAAACTGTCAATGTTCCTTGGTTCTAGTGACAACACCTACACCTTTAACCTTGATGACAGTGTGCAATATTGCTGAGAACAGAAGTGCTTGTCACTGCACAGTCTAATACTGGCGGTAATGTCACAAACTGCCACGTCAGTATTTTGGCTGCAAACTTTTCCAATGCCAGATTACATCAAGTAACCAAAAGTATTGTCAAACAAGGGAGATGACTGAGTCTACTGTCTCAGAGGTCATTCGCAACCATGTTTACAGAATAAAGGGTCACTTAAAGAATGCTGTGGTCACTAGTATTCACTCTGGTCAAGACATTGAAACCAACGTGTTTACTAATCATTTTTGCACTTGGCATTCAGGTGTATCTTAACCCCTGATAGAAGACGTAGAGTGTAATGTTAGACACCAAAAGGTTAATCAGGTCAGAAAGTCAATCTTGTCCAGTGAGTCACTGATTTGATACATTAGTGGTGGCTTGTCGACGCTTCTCCATCGCATGATAACACTCACCGGACAGATGACCAGTCAACATCTGTTTGAGCAGAGTTGATCCACCAATATCAAGGTCGTATGAGTTAATAGACTGCGACTCGCAGTAAGTGCCAACACACTGCTGCTGTGTGGTACTAGAGTAGCCACGCAACATTTTCTCTAGTTCTGACATGGTGGTTGATTTTCCATCACTGTTAACTTGGGTGTGGCTGTAGGGCGAATTGTTCTTATGCCGCACACACAGATAATGTCCGTTTTGAGAAGTGGAACAGCTTGCACAAGATATAGCACTGTTAGGAATAAGCCTATTGGCCTGGGTGTGGGACATTGGTACAGAGTATGGACTCTGAACTGTAGCACTGGGGAAATGTTCTGATCCATTCTGCACGGCAACACAGCGATCGCAGCCCTGAGCAAATGTTGGCCCGACAGTTGGAAACTTCTGACATCCTTGGTAATTGACATTTTGGTTGGTATAAGAATTTGGCATACAACCCATATTTGGTGTGGCTTGTACTGGACCCACCGTAGCCTGTTGTCTATTGCGACGCTCTTCTATTGACGACAGAAGCTCTTCGCGACGAAACTCATCTAAAACTTGCTGGACTTGATTGTCAGTCATTGTGCTGCAGAACTGAAGCCACAGGTCAGAAATCTCTGGTGGTAGAGAGTCGCCCACTCCTGATCCAGTTATGTCACTCCCATTGCTGTCTCCAGTTATGCCCAGCTGCAGGTTCATCATATCCTGCGAACAGTTTGGACTAACTGGTTGATTTTGAGGACTTACTGGTGAGGTGACAGATGTAACAGCATTGCTGGACTGGAGGTCAAGAAGCTGAGCTGATGTGACAGGATGTACGTTTAGTAGGTTTTGGGGATGTGTGGAACTAGGTGGAACATTCTGGTGCAAAGTGTTAACCAGACTCTGGGGAGAATCTGTCTGCAGATTAAGTATGCTTTGTGGAGTCTCCACACCAGAGGAAGGAATTGTCCGTGCATTGAGGATATTTTGAGGTGAAGTGACTGGCTGAAGATTAATCAGAGGTGAAGAGGATGGAACAGAAAGTGGCTGGAGGTTGAGCAAATTTTGCTGTGGAGAAGATGTAGAAATAGACTGCAGGTTTAAAATACTATTTGGGGAACAAGATGCCGGAATGGACTGTAAGCTTATGAGATTTCTTTGTGCTGGAGAAGTCACAGGTTGAAGGTCCAGAAGATTCCTTTGAGGGGAAGATGTCGCAGGAGCAGTCTGTAGATCATGAAGTTGAGGTGCTGATGTAGTAGGAATGGGAGACAACATGGTTATATCGGTGTCAGATGGCATAGTGGGTGAAGACACAAGTCCTGAGCAGACGCTGGGAGACCTACTGCTGCTGGCTGCCTCCATTGGTATTAGTCCAGAGGCAGAGCTTACAGAAGACAAACTGGAGCTGAAGGACTTTCCTGGCTGTGAAGGTAAAATATCACAGTTACCATGGAGACCTGTTCCAACAGAGGAAAAGTTGCCTTGTGGTGTGTATATCTGTGTCTGAAGCAAGGATGATGTCAGGCTTGTGTTGTCACCATTGCTAGAGAGCAGTCTCTGAAACTCTCTCGTAGGCTGACTTGGAGGAGAAATCATTTGGTTGGAAGTTGCTGGAATATATACGTTTGTGTCAGCAGAGGGTGGGCACATAGCTGCCATGTCACCTTGTGGATCCATCCAGCCTCCAGCCTCTGACAATGGAGACTGGTCAGATCTCTTATCACAAAGTTGACCAGTCTCCTTATCAAAGCTATTGATCATCTCAAAGATGGACTCTTGACTTGGGTTAATAGTGTTGGCGACTTCCTGGAATACACCAGGAGGAAAGTCGCTGTCAGCTTCTGTCAGGGTACCATTGTTATCATCACTGCGGTGACCGTCTGCAGGACTTGGATTCGTGCTGGAGTAGGGACTATTACTGCTTATGTAGCCTGAGTCACTGTGGTCTCCCTTCTCTTCACATGTGGGTGTTTCTGACAAGTCAATCACCCCCGGAGCACATACCGGCTGTTTACCAGTCTTTTCCTCATCCATCATAATGTAGCGCTGACCTTCCTCTTCACTGTCAAGGTAAAACAGTGCAATTAGTGGTGATTACAAATACCAACAAGACATCAATGTCCCCTCCCCAAACACATGTACACAATGTCCCCTCCCCAAACACATGTACACAATGTCCCCTCCCCAAACACATGTACACAATGTCCCTTCCCCAAACATATGTACACAATGTTCCCTCCCTAAACATATGTACACAATGTTCCCTCCCTAAACACATGTACACACTTAATTATCAGAATCTGATTGGGTGTTGATGGTTTGATGTTTTGAACTAAATCTGCTAAGTGGTCTTAAAAAATGGCAATGATTGAGAAGAGGAATGAGGACGTGTAGGGATGAGATGGTGAGGAGGTGGGGGGAATATGGGTCATTGGTAAGACTTTACATCACCGTAACAAAATAACAGGGACATATAAAACATGTAACCTATGTATATTGTTGTTACAGTTATAATGTATAAATCCCCATATCTGGTTAAAAGCCAACAGATTTTTATTTCACTTCAATAGAATGGCCATTTCATTGTTTCTGTGATAAGCCCATCTGTGACTGTCTGAGGTTGGGTTGCAGGGGGATAAATTCAATACAGTATAATTAACAATCTATGGAGTCAGTTGACTTCAATCACCTCCATATTGAGTCATCCTTCAAAAGGTTACTTTTATGCAAAATGATCAATAATCAGTTTTAAATAAATACTTCCACTCATATCATATGTATGATTTATCTTTTACTGCTTAATTATTCAATCTATGATTTATAACTCCTTGTATAAATAGATGATCTATCTTATTATGTTTTTCAGTCAAGCATTTCCATGATTGATCAAATCAATTTAGAATCATCTCATGAATAAAAAGCCGAAGTTTTCAATCCCATTTCTTATTCACTAAAGTATTCTAATTAGACCAATATTGCAATCTTTTCTTGTATATTTTACTAAAATGGATTCTTAAGATCTGTTTATCATTATTTTTTGTTTTGGTTTGTTAAAACAAAATGAAATAAACATGAATTAAATTCAAATATTTTAATTCACTGATAGATTGAACTTAAAACTTACACCTGGATTTTGCTTTTTGGTTTTTATTTTTGGTGGGGGGATTGTTACCTTTCAAAATTAAATTTGTTGAACACATAACAACCTTTTACTAATACACTTGCTTTTCTTCTCAGAATCCCTTGTGCACTCTTCTTACATTATAAATCAAAACATATATATAAAAAACTTATATAATTTAGCTAGACTCTGAATACTTTTTACCACAATCCAATCAAGGAATACCTAAGTGAGAAGTCACCCATTTCAAACTTCAGGAAGTTACTCACTGTGAAATTAATTGACCAGCAGGGGACACATGCAGTGCACCTTGCAGTGTGATGTGCACTTTGTAAACTTTGAGATGTAAAGTTTGGGATGACAGACAGAAATCACTATATGAGAAATTTACATTTCGTTATAAAAGAACATCTGACCTTGGAGATGTATTACATTTTCAATTAACTGCAAAGAAACTGACACAACAACATTTGTAAACACAATTATTTTTGATTTCATACTGAATGATGTTAATTTGGTATAGTAATTAAAAACCAATCATGTTTGCCATCATGGAGGGACTTACACATAAATATGTCTATCAAATATTTTAGTTTTAGTTATTCTAACAACAGCACACACATTTCAAAGCTGCAAAGCCAATTTCTGATATTATAGCCAATGACAAAACATATATTTTAAAAGAATTAAATGGAGTTTCCAGTGCTGTAATTCAGAACAATACCATATTTATTTTTAAATGCCTCCAAGTGCTGTCTCATTGCCTTGTGATAAGTCCACCTTCCAACCTAGAGCTGGAGGTTGTGTTGGCTCCCTGGGTTCATCGCAAGATTGATACAGTACAACAATAATATAAGGTTTTACATAGGACAACAATATAAAGTTTTACATATGACAACAATACAAGGTTTTACTCACGACAATAATACAAGGTTTTACATACGACAACAATATAAGGATTTACATACGATGACAATATAAGGTTTTACTAACCACAACAGTACAAGGTTTTACATAGGACAACAATATAAGGTTTTACATAGGACAACAATACAAGGTTTTACATACGACAACACTACAAGGTTTTACATAGGACAACAATACAAGGTTCAACACTACAAGGTTTTACATACGACAACAATACAAGGTTTTACATACGATAACAATATAAGGTTTTACTAATGACAACAATATAAGGTTTTACTAATGACAACAATATAAGGTTTTACTAATGACAACAATATATGGTTTTACTCACCTAATGATGTAATTCATACAGACGATGTACTGTGGCACATTCTTGGTATTGTATATAATTGTGGCCCGAGTCTGCATCCACACCCACTCACAGTTCTTGCCCAGGAAACGGTAGTACTTACTCACCGAAGTTCCTTTGACAATCACTGTCAAAAACACAAAAAAGAAAATAATTTCCATCAGAGTACTGAAGGTTGTATGGTCCAGGGTGACTTGCTGTATAAATGAGACTTAAGGATGTATGCTACATTACTATAATATGGAGACTTAAGGATGTATGCTGCATTACTATAATATGGAAACTTAATGATGTATGCTACCTGTAGTAAGGAGATTTAATTATATAAACTATGTCAATGTAACATGAAGAATTGCAGATTTAAGTATTCACCATAGAGAGTAAAAGTTTGATTGATCAAGAACTGAAGTATACTGTTTACTTTACTTGGAACATCCCAATTATCAGTCTGTCTTTTGATAGTTTTACCAACTTATAGTTCACTCCTTGTAAAGTTGTGAATTTCAAAAAGGAAAATTTATTTTCCAAACTAGATGTATTTGAAACATGAATGTTCCTGCCATCAACCAACCAAAAGTGTGGTACTTAACAGGTTATCTCAAAACCTTTTAGACTAATTTCCAAGGTAAACAACTAAAATTTCTTTGAATTTCAATTGCTGCGAACAAAAATACATTAACTTCTATTTAAATATTGCCATCAAACAAGAACAATAACTCTGGAAAATATAAGTAAACCAAAACCAAATATCACCTTGACCTGCCTCATAATACCACTGCATTAAGCCATTAAGCTCTGATAAAATAAAAAGAAGCATACAGTTCTGATATTTTCAAAAGTCAAGGTCCATAACTGTGGAAATGATAGGTCGAATGGAATAAAATAACTTCACTTGTATCTTCTCAGCATATGACTAGATAATAAATTTCAGTTCAGTAAACGTATCGCCATCAATGAGTATATTAACAAAAACCAAATTATTATGAAAAGATGGCCTTGGACACCACCATAACCATGATGTATGCCAAAGTCATTTTATAACAGGGTTCAAAATTGTCTTGTGATGTTTTCAGTGACTTAATGTGGTCAGAAAGAAACATGACATTGTTTACAGACCTAGATAAATCTCACTTTAACATCTAACAATTCTGAAAGTTATAACATTTTATGGATTTGAAACAAACATTTTATAGATATGAAACATCATTGCCTAGACAGGATTAAGAAAGATAACACAGGGAGCAGAGTGAATATATTCATTTATTTAGTGTCAGTCTGGTAACAGTAACTATCTTATTCAAATCTAACACATTTACCATAACATACAGACTTTTTTACCAATGAATAAAATATACTAAATACTTCAGATCCAACAAGGTTATCATAACATGTAGATTCTTTTACCAAATATCAACAGACAATTTTTCTGTAGCAGTAAGTATCATAATCTATGATAGTCTATGACCTTTTCAGCCAAAACCATCAACAGCTGACATATTTTCTAAATAGAACTGACAAAAAAACTGAAGACCAGGTAGATTAGTTTAGTTGGCTTTTTCCCTTTTTAAGGCACCCTTGGGAAGAATTTACTGTCAAATACGACAGCTGTGTCTGATCGTAATTTTAGCACGTAGAAACCTCAATTTGTCTCAGAGAAGACATTGTGGTAATACAAATGGTATAGTGATGAATGTGTAGTACTAGTGAGTAAGTGTAGGTAATGGTACACTGGCAAATACTACAAAGTGATCCTAATTACACCAGGACACAGATTATAAAATCACATTTAAAAATTATGTCAAAAATAGTATAAATTTTTAGTACTGTATTTCACTCCCTGAGGAACACAACATACTGGTCAAAGTTACGTGTCTAATCTGACACCCGGTAGGACACAACATTTTGGGCAGATTAACCTGTCTAATCTGACACCCTGTAGGACACAACATTTTGGGCAGATTAACCTGACTAGTATGAACACTTTTGAGCTACAACATATTTTCCAACACCATATGTTACATTGATGACAGACTGGCAAAACGATCTGAGGAACACTGAGGAAGAATTCCACTTCTCATCTCATATAGATTTTCAGTTTGAAGTCAACATCCGTTTGATTTTCAGATTAAAAAAAAAAAAATTACACTTTAAAAGTACTATATTTAGTTATTTAGGTTAACATCTGACATACATACTAATTTCACCTACATGTACTAAGATCTGTCAAGCTTATCAACATACGTCTGGCTCCGACAAGGAAAAAGAAATTACAATATTATATTAATAATTCTTTAAAGTGTTTTTTAGCTGGTATAACATTCATATGTCGTATAGTCAGGAAAATTCTTATTGAAATTATCATCAACAGACACCAGAATCAATCAACGATGATACATGTGTACTTCTGTTAAAGTACACAAATTTTTAAATTAAACAATTATTGTAGACCTGCTTATATCCATTTATCAATATATTTGTTGTTTACTTTATAACCTAATCAATAAATAAAGCTTCTAAAAAACTAAAAGTAAACTAAAGTCCTTCAAATAGACAGAATGCAAGACTGATTTCTATAAGTAGAAAACATCTTCAATTCCTTTTAAAAATCTTTAGTGCTGTTGATAATTTTAAAAATAAATTTTTCCTAGATCAGTTAATGTTAGATTAGTAAATAATTGAATATATAATTAATAGTTTGGTCTTTATTATATAAACTTATTAATGAACCACAGACTTGAATAACGGATCGCTGAGGACTTAAGCACTTAGTGTTCATAATACAGTGTAAAATTTACTGACCACACCACCATACAATGTAGATTGACTGGTCACAAAGAAGGAGGTGAGGCTTACTCGTACACCAAAAGTCATTAAACAGTGCATTTTTTCTATCACTCAGGAACAGATTTTCCAAAAAACCTATATCAGAAGCTTTAAAATAGAAATGAAATGAGGGACATGAGCAAGTCTAAACGACAGACTTGGAGATGTGAGTTTAAAGTGAGTCACACACAGCCATAGTCTAGCTGGTCTGACAGTTCCCTCATTAATCTCAATGTGATGAACTAGGCATTGTTTTTATAGGATCAACTGGTGTATTGTTTGTAGCGTATTTCCTCTTCTTTCTGTTATTGTAACAGGGCTACACACCTTTTGCTGTGACATTCTGTCAGATGATTTGACATTTAAACATTGAAACTCCCAACGATTACTTGTGATAGCAGTCAAAAAACAAAATTTGTTATTCTAGCAAAAATTACATTAAACATGAATTTTCCATGGCATTCTGTTTAAAATACTTAAGTGTTTAATTAGAAAAGGGTGTGTAAAGGACTGATATATATAAGTATATTTATATAGATAGGTGAAAACTCCAATCTGTCAAGGTGAACCTGTACATGCGATTCACACAGGAAAACGCTTATAAAGCATTAATATCATTATTCATGAATGAATGCCATAACATTCGTAATCTCTCCTCTAAATATAACCTTAATCTAAATAAAAACAAAGGATATTTGAGCACCTATCTTTGTAGAGTTTGTGTCCGAGTGTCCTGTACAAAGTTATGACAGGGACAATAAACCAAATATATAAATACATACAGCGAAGCCAAAATATGATATGACAGTTTAAAACTTACGATTTGAATGACACTTCCCGACAGTTTGTGCATCCAGGGGATTATGGAATTGGTATGCTGTCCGTCCCAGAACTTCGCAAGGTTCGTAGCCGATCAATGTAACGATTCTGGTAATGAAATTGACACAAAATAAGACCGTCAAGCCAGTGGTCAGACAGGTGAAACTGAAAAGTCAATCAGCTGATGGCGGCACACCTGGATGTAATTAACGGCACAACAAAATGTGAAGGGCAGCTGTCATGTACACACACACACACACATACACACAGGCAGGAGTGGAGTCTACGACAACTAGGGGCTTGACTGAAGCTTCAGAGGGAGTGTGTGACAACTATACCCACGACTTACCGGTACCACATGAATTAAGGGATGAAGTTACTGAGAACATTGTCATGTAAATTCTCCAACATGACGAGGTTCTTATCTGGGGTGGTTATGGCTAATGTGACACTATCAGAGATTAGCATCCTTATTGTGTTCTATAAATATGCATGAAACACTGTCACTTGATTTTTCTGTGGAGTTACTGATGAGAAGCGGCATCAATGATACACCTGACACAAAGTGACCACTGAAGTCTATCAAACCTCATTCTCTACTGACCCAAAGTGATCACTGAGGTCTATAAGATGTCACTCCCTACTGACCCATCACACCTCACTTCCTACTGACCCCCTCCCGTGACCAATGAGGTCCATTACACCTCACTCCCTACTGACCCCCCAGTGACTGCTGAGGTCCTTCACATCTCACTCACAATTGGCCCACAGTGATCACTGAGGGCCACCTCACTTCATTCTCTATTGACCTAGAGTGACCACTGACATGGTCCATCAAACCTCATTCCTATCTGACCAACCTTAACAACTGATAACCCATAATGACCAACGATTTTGAACAAACCTCACTTTACTGACCCATGGTGACCAAATAAGGTCTAATAAATCCCATTTTCTATTGACACACAGTGACCAATGAAGTCCATCACATCCTACTCTTTACTAACCTATAGTGACCAATGAGGTTCATCTCATCTCACTCTCTATTGATCTATAGTGACCAATGAGGTCCATCACACCTCACTCTCTACTGACCAACAGTGACCAATGAGGTCCATCGCATCTCACTCTCTACTGACCAACAGTGACCAATGAGGTCCATCACACCTCACTCTCTACTGACCAACAGTGACAAATGAGGTCCATCTCATCTCACTCTCTACTGACCAACAGTGACCAATGAGGTCCATCACACCTCACTCTCTACTGACCAACAGTGACCAATGAGGTCCATCGCATCCCACTCTTTACTGACCAACAGTGACCAATGAGGTCCATCTCATCTCATTCTCTACTGACCAACAGTGACCAATGAGGTCCATCACACCTCACTCTCTACTGACCAACAGTGACCAATGAGGTCCATCACACCTCACTCTCTACAGACCAACAGTGACACAAAAGGTCCATCACACCTCACTCTCTACTGACCCACAGTGACCAATGAGGTCCATTACATCTCACTCTCTACTGACCCCCAGTGACCAATTAGATAAAAGCTATGATTTAGGTGAAATATCCTGCTACTGTAAAGAGTCAAATTTAATTTGAAATCAGAAGTTATGGAGACAAACTAAACACTAACTGTTTTCACTCACCTGTTTGATAGAACAATGGAACTAAATACAAAATCTAACCAACATGTGTGAAAATCCCAATACACAGTATTATTTCTAGATATTGAAATATGATACTATTGGGTCTTGTATATTGTTAGAAAAGTGGAATCAAATTTTAGTCAAAGCATGAAATCAAATCAAGGGATAAATCTATTGAAAAATTATATAATTTCCACCTCCACTTACTTATCAGGGTTAGGGATAGGGGAAACCCACATAAAAAGTGCTAAAACTGGATAGTGAGTAGTATATAGAGGCCAAGGCTCAGAAGATGGAAGATGACACTCATGCACCTATAAACGACCTTTCTTCCCTAGTCCAGGGAGTGGAAAAGAATGTGACGATGTGTACTCTTACCTCTGAAACAATATTCTTTTATTTCTGATAGAAAGGAAAGATAACTCTAAATATATCAAATTTTTCTGTTATACAACTCTTCATCTAATCAGTGTTTATGTACACAGGTCAACTTAAGCAAGAGATGTACTGATTCAAGCCAATAAAGCTCCCCTCTGAATATGATAGGACTGAAATGAGAGTAGGAGTGGGCTCATATTTATATCCCTTCTCAGGTACTACAATCATTTGTTCTAATGAAGAAATGAACATGTTTCTGTCAGCTGTAGGAAATGAAACCCTATAATTCTCAGTCACTTAAAAAGTCAGGATCAATAAAATGTGTGTCACTTAATCAGGAACAAATAAATGTTTGCTGCTTAGTCCAGATCAATCAAATGTTTGCCGCTTAGTCAAGATCAATAAAATGTTTGCCTCTTAGTCAAGATCAAGCAGACGTTTGCAACTTAGGTACAAAAAAGTTCTATTTTTTTTTCACTTATTCAGAAACAGTAAAAAAAAATTGTTACTTCATCTGAATCAACCAAATGATTGTCACTTTCCTTAAGCAATCAAATAATTGTTGTTCAGTCCTTCAGTCTCAGGACTGTCACTTAGTCTTGACCAATAGACTGTTTTTACTCAGTCAGTAAAGGACTCACAGAAACCATGTAATTCTCTTTCATAAAAAGACAGGATCAATTACTTGTTTGTCACTTTGTCAGGAAAAATTAAATCCCAGGATTCAATTGTTTTAAAATCAAGAAAAAGACACATTTTTACTTAAAGAAATGCACATATTTCACCTTTGACCATTTGGTGATTTTAGGTCATACTTTATGCCTACTTTCTGATGCTGAAAAAAAATCAAATTTTATAAAGATATCCTTGATGATATAAAAGTGCTTGACTTGAGAAGTTAAAGTTTGGAAAAGATGAAGTTTCAAGAAGATTTAATTAAAAGATGTAGTTAGAAGAATACAATTTCAAAAGAATAATTGTCGTATATCATTGTTAACACCCTTCAGATGAAACGCTGTGTCACTGTTTTATATATGTAAAAGGGATCATATGATAATTTCAAGGAAAAAGAATTTTAAGATAATGGAAAATTACAGGGATATTTACAAATAGTCTAATTTAGAAACAAAATTTGGAAAGACAAGATGCTCCAATATAACGACCATACCCTTACTCAATGGTTTATATGTTCAGATTTTATCTAAATGTATATTTAATTTTGAATGTACAACAATGAAAGCGGATAACCCGTAATTTAAAAGACACCAGGACATTTTATGAGCATGGGAGAAGTTATGGTAAGAACTGTTGATGGTGAGGTACATGACTTGGGAGGGAGGTACAGATAGATGTCACTCTCGGGTACACATTATCATTCTCCGGACAGACATCACTGTTCCGCCTTCCTCATTAAAAATGAACTGTATATTCAGCTGTATCATATCAACATTTAAAAATTATGGTAAATGCTTAAGTCAAAAAAAGGGACACCTCAGGTCACATGTTCATGTCTCATCTATCTAAATTATAAACAGATTTATAAAACAGTTCAAAATTTGCAGAATCATTATAATTAATATTCCAGAAGTATCCCCAAATTGTGTAGAATGTGGGTCAGAGATGTGGTGAATCTAGTATCGGCTGTCCGCGTGGCAGCTGATATCATCTCAAATGGAAGGAAAGCCTTTCTAGAGCAGATAGTGGAGACATCATTTGATACAGATAGTCGGGGTGGGCATCGCTTATACAGTATCATGTTACCGCAGTCTATTTTAGATAGGACACAATGCACTAAGAGAGGGCACAAATGTGATGGACATCTTCGTACTCTCAGAAGGAACATCTCGATTTTTAAATAATGAAACCAAAAATTTTTATCTGCAGTAATTTTTTTATTGAAATAAATCCTCCTACTTGAATGTTATACTGCTGAAGATTAAACATTACACTAGATCACAATGTTCTGGAAGGCAGGGATACCCAGAAATATGAAACACAGAAGAAATCTAACTCAGCTGTGTCCATGTCAGGGACAAAAGTGTGAGGAATATCATGAGTTTGACAGACAGATAACAGTTACAAGACATTCTAATGATGACAAAACACTATTATCAAGTACCAGAGCTGTTAGAAATTAAACACTGCCAAAGTAAATGTCTCCGACATCAAACGGTGCTCATCTAATACAAAGTACTAAGCCTATCTGCTTACAAAGGCCTCAGGTCTATCAAATCATAGAGCTTCAAGCTTTCCACATCATACTAAGCTTATCTGTTTGCCTAGACCTCAAGCCTCTAACAATATACAACGTACTGAGCTTATCTGTTTGCCTAGACCTTAAACCTCCGACATCATACAGAGCTTATCTGTTTGCCTAACCCTCAAGCCTCCAAACGTCATACAGAGCTTATCTGTTTGCCTAGACCTCACACCTTCGACATCATACAGAGCTTATCTGTTTACCTAGACCTCAAGCCTGCAAACATCATACAGAGCTTATCTGTTTTCCTAGACCTCAAGCCTCCGACATCATATAGAGCTTATCTGTTTGCCTAGACCTCAAGCCTCCAAACATCATACAGATCTTATCTGTTTGCCGAGACCTCAAGCCTGCAAACATCATACAGAGCTTATCTGTTTGCCTAGACCTCAAACCTTCGACATCATACAGAGCTTATCTGTTTACCTAGACCTCAAGCCTCCGACATCATATAGAGCTTATCTGTTTGCCTAACCATCAAGCCTGCAAACATCATACAGAGCTTATCTGTTTGCCTAGACCTCAAGCCTCCAAACATCATACAGATCTTATCTGTTTGCCTAGACCTCAAGCCTCCAAACATCATACAGATCTTATCTGTTTGCCTAGACCTCAAGCCTCCAACATCATACAGATTTTATCTGTTTGCCCAGACCTCAAGCCTTCGACATCATACAGAGCTGATCTGCTTGCCTAGATCTCAATCCTCCGACATCATACAGAGCTTATCTGCTTGTCTAGACCTCAAGCCCTCGACATCATACAGAGCTGATCTGCTGACCAAGACTTCAAGCATCCAACCTGAAGTCGTAAAATATCATACAGAGTGTATCCCTTTACCAAGTCTTCAGGTCTCCCAGATCATACAGAGTTTATCCACTTGCCAAGACCTCAAGTCTGCGACATCATACAGATCTTATCTGTTTGCCTAGACCTCAAGCCTCCAACAATATACAGAGTTTATCTATTTGCCTAGACCTCAAGTTTCCAAAATCACACAGAGCTTAATGCTCATCATGACCTCAAAACTCTAATATCATACAGAGATCATCCACTTATGTACACTTCAAACCTTCCATGCAGATCTTATCTGTCTATAAAAATATGCCGAATCAAGTTTGAAATAGACCTCATGAAATTTTCAGCCCATTTGAAGAAGCCCTGCTAGCAGCCATCTTCAATAATTGAAAACAAGGTCTCCCTAGATTCATACAACACATGTTATTGTGATGACAAGAAGCAGGACTTTGTGGGTATCACTTTACCAAATCCCAATATACTAAACACCAGTTTCTGTGTCATTGGTTTACTTAACTACCTCAGTGTGATGTTACAGAACTCTATGATTGCTTTATCAAAACAATCAATTATCTGTTCTAGATAGTGGAAAGACATTGGTTAACTGAGGCTGGACTGAATGCAAACTGGACAAATAAGGACTCTTTGACAAAGGGAAAGAGGAAGCTAAGTTGGGGAGGGGTAAATCAAGGGGAGATAACTCAGGGGGAAGAGACAGGGGAAAATTGATAGTTCTATCTATATTGTTTTATACCTGGTGTCACAGAATGTGAAGCGCATCCCAAGATCATGTCTACTCATGAACATGCTACCGTCCAAGCGGATCTCTGTGATGGATGTGGACTGCATCGGGCGACAGATACAAACCAAACACTCTATCGCATGACCATGTGGACGCGTCACTGACTTTTTCATCTTGATGCGACCTGACCACTGCACCAACTGAAACAAAACAAGTGTTAGATTTAGACAAGTCAACCCAAAGGCCTTAACAGTCACCTGAGTCACAATGGTTCTTGTAACTTGTCATCTAAATGATCCTGTTAAAAAAAGTAACATAATTTTAACTATATTGTTCACATATTACAAGGTAAATTGTGTATACATTAACTGCTGTCCTTTTCTAAGGCATCTAACCAAGTCTGCATTTGAAAAAAAATTTCACTCAAGATTTGAATCTTCCTATATAAAATCTTCCATCCAGGAACGGTAGAAGAGCTCAGAAATTTCAGCCAATTAGACCCCTTTTTAGCCCAACCCATGAGTCCCTGAGGGTCAGTCAAGGTCATTATGTTCATCTCATCAAACAGTCAGCTTATAGTAAGAAAAGATAAATTCTACCCAAGTTTGAAATATTTCTGAAAGAAAATAACCAAATTATGCTAAAAAATTTTATTTTCATTTATAAAGTACTGTAAATTATAACCTTCTCCTGCTGTCATTACTGTAAATTATAACCTTCTCCTGCTGTCATTACTGTAAATTATAACCTTCTCCTGCTGTCATTACTGTAAATTATAACCTTCTCCTGCTGTCATTACTGTAAATTATAACCTTCTCCTGCTGTCATTACTGTAAATTATAACCTTCTCCTGCTGTCATTACTGTAAATTATAACCTTCTCCTGCTGTCATTACTGTAAATTATAACCTTCTCCTGCTGTCATTACTGTAAATTATAACCTTCTCCTGCTGTCATTACTGTAAATTATAACCTTCTCCTGCTGTCATTACTGTAAATTATAACCTTCTCCTGCTGTCATTACTGTAAATTATAACCTTCTCCTGCTGTCATTACTGTAAATTATAACCTTCTCCTGCTGTCATTACTGTAAATTATAACCTTCTCTTGCTGTCATTACTGTAAATTATAACCTTCTCCTGCTGTCATTACTGTAAATTATAACCTTCTCCTGCTGTCATTACTGTAAATTATAACCTTCTCCTGCTGTCATGAAATTTATAATTTTACAAAGCACCATAAGACACTTCTATCCATGAAGAGTATTTCATTCTACATTATCTGGGTATTGAGAAGATTTTTGGAATTTCAGTCAATTTTTCCCTTGTGAGACCCTGAAGTCATGAAATTTATAATTTTGGTAAAGTATTTGAAGGCCTTTCCTTCCATGAAGAGTACTTGATTTCACCATATCTTGGATATGAGAAGAATATTTTAGAAATTTCAGTCAATTTGACCTATTTTTGGCCCTGCCCAACAGCCCCTTGGAATCAGCCGAGGTCAATATGTGCATCTCATTAAACTGTCAACTTAAACTAATAATTATATCAAAGTTTGAACTTTTTCCAATAGAAAATATACAAGTAATCTTCAAAAATGTCATTTTCCAATACAAAATATAGTAAACTTTTCCCCTTTCGCCTGGGGGATATGCAACACTCTGGGGTCATGAAATGTACAATGTTGGAAAAGCATCTGAAGGCCTTTCTATCCGTGACGAGTACTTGATTCTATACATAAGATTTTAGAAGAAGACTTTTGAAATTTCAATCAAATTTGGTACATTGTGCCCTGCCCCTAACCCCTTGGGGTTAGGGAGCACATAATTACAATTTGGGTTTGCCTTAAGTCATGGCAGGTTTTTGTAAAATTTTAATGAAATCTACAAATGCAGGTCTCTGTGACATACATTTCACTTGAAGGAGTCAAAAAATAGTAGCAACATTAATAGTATCCATGAAATGAATAAACGATAACAATGATAATGTATGGTCAACTAATATACATAGAGAGACAGATTCACAGAAAAAACAAATATTTCACACTTTATTCATTAACATGGCAGGGGCATAAAAGGAAAAAACCACTTGTATAAATACAATGAAAAATCCTGACATATCGCTCTTGGCAAGTGCAAGGCCAATACTGAAGTCTCAAGTCTCATACTCTTAAGTTACAAAAAATATCCATTTTGTCAACCACAGTTGCAGAATACATTTGTTTAAGTGATATCTGTCCTTTGACACAATTTATATTAATATGCCAGCTCATACTTTTACTTAAAGGCATTATCACTGTTATTTCTTAAAATCTAAACGACACATTATCTTGATTTTTATCATTTGACCTCAAAATCAACCTACAACTCTCCGAGTAGACAACAAAACTAATGTGTCAGATTTCCAGGAAATCAGATACATATACGGATTCTCAGATAATACTCTGCAACGCCACAATATCCAGTTACGAATGATTTGGTTACATTTTCTGTACTGCAGTCACAAAATAAAGACAGTTACATTTGATAAAAAAATGAAATATTTATTTAGTCTTTATTGCTTTTTGCCACAACACAAATTATCCTTGCTCTTAAAAAATGCAGACAAAGCAAAATGTTCATTGGATTTCTAAGTATACTAATGCCATTCATGGAAAGTACAACTGTACTACAGGTGTAACTGTAATTAGTAAAGCAACACAGTTCTGTACTACAGGTGTGACTGTAGTAGGTATAGCAACACAGTTCTGTACTACAGGTGTGACTGTACTAGGTAAAGCAACACAGTTCTGTACTACAGGTGTGACTGTACTAGGTAAAGCAACACAGGTTTGTACCACAGGTGTGACTGTAATTAGTAAAGCAACACAGTTCTGTACTACAGGTGTGACTGTACTAGGTATAGCAACACAGTTCTGTACTACAGGTGTGACTGTAATTAGTAAAGCAACACAGTTCTGTACTACAGGTGTGACTCTACTAGGTAAAGCAACACAGTTCTGTACTACAGGTGTGACTGTACTAGGTAAAGCAACACAGTTTTGTACTACAGGTGTGACTGTAATTAGTAAAGCAACACAGTTCTGTACTACAGGTGTGACTGTACTAGGTAAAGCAACACAGTTCTGTACTACAGGTGTGACTGTAATAAGTAAAGCAACACAGTTCTGTACTACAGGTGTGACTGTACTAGGTAAAGCAACACAGTTCTGTACTACAGGTGTGACTGTAATTAGTAAAGCAACACAGTTCTGTACTACAGGTGTGACTGTAATTAGTAAAGCAACACAGTTCTGTACTACAGGTGTGACTGTACTAGGTAAAGCAACACAGTTCTGTACTACAGGCATGACTGTAGTAGGTATAACAACACAGTTCTGTACTACAGGCATGACTGTAGTAGGTATAACAACACAGTTCTGTACTACAGGTACAACTGTACTAGCTAAAGCAACACAGTTATGTACTACAGGTGTGACCGTAATTGGTATAACAACACAGTTCTGTACTACAGGTATGACTGTACTAGGTATAGCAACACAGTTCTGTACTACATGTACAACTGTACTAGCTAAAGCAACACAGTTCTGTACTACAGGTATGACTGTAATTGGTATAACAACACAGTTCTGTACTACAGGTGTGACTGTACTAGGTATAGCAACACAGTTCTGTACTACAGGTATGACTGTACTAGGTATAGCAACACAGTTCTGTACTACAGGTATGACTGTACTAGGTATAGCAACACAGTTCTGTACTACAGGTATGACTGTACTAGGTATAGCAACACAGTTCTGTACTACAGGTGTGACTGTACTAGGTATAGCAACACAGTTCTGTACTACAGGTATGACTGTACTAGGTATAGCAACACAGTTCTGTACTACAGGTATGACTGTACTAGGTATAGCAACACAGTTCTGTACTACAGGTATGACTGTACTAGGTATAGCAACACAGTTCTGTTCTACAGGTATGACTGTACTAGGTATAACAACACAGTTCTGTACTACAGGTGTGACTGTACTCGGTATAGCAACACAGTTTTGTACTACAGGTATGGCTGTACTAAGTATAGCAACACAGTTTTGTACTACAGGTGTAACTGTAATTAGTAAAGCAACACAGTTCTGTACTACAGGTATGACTGTAGTAGGTATAGCAACACAGTTCTGTACTACAGGTATGACTGTAGTAGGTATAACAACACAGTTTTGTACTACAGGTGTAACTGTAATTAGTAAAGCAACACAGTTCTGTACTACAGGTATGACTGTAGTAGGTATAACAACACAGTTCTGTACTACAGGTATGACTGTAGTAGGTATAACAACACAATTCTGTACTACAGGTGTAACTGTAATTAGTAAAGCAACACAGTTCTGTACTACAGGTATGACTGTAGTAGGTATAACAACACAGTTCTGTACTACAGGTATGACTGTAGTAGGTATAGCAACACAGTTTTCTACTACAGGTATGGCTGTACTAAGTATAGCAACACAGTTTTGTACTACAGGTGTGACTGTACTAGGTATAACAACACAGTTCTGTACTACAGGTATGACTGTACTAGGTATAGCAACACAGTTTTGTACTACAGGTGTGACTGTACTAAGTATAGCAACACAGTTCTGTACTACAGGTATGACTGTACTAGGTATAACAACACAGTTCTGTACTACAGGTATGACTGTACTAGCTAAAGCAACACAGTTCTGTACTACAGGTATGACTGTAGTAGGTATAACAACACAGTTCTGTACTACAGGTGTGACTGTACTAGGTATAGCAACACAGTTCTGTTCTACAGGTATGACTGTACTAGGTATAACAACACAGTTCTGTACTACAGATATGACTGTACTAAGTATAGCAACACAGTTCTGTACTACAGGTATGACTGTAGTAGGTATAACAACACAGTTCTGTACTACAGGTGTGACTGTACTAGGTATAGCAACACAGTTCTGTTCTACAGGTATGACTGTACTAGGTATAACAACACAGTTCTGTACTACAGATATGACTGTACTAAGTATAGCAACACAGTTCTGTACTACAGGTATGACTGTACTAGGTATAACAACACAGTTTTGTACTACAGGTGTGACTGTACTAGGTATAACAACACAGTTCTGTACTACAGGTATGACTGTACTAGGTATAGCAACACAGTTCTGTACTACAGGTATGACTG